GGGGTAATGCAGAAAAGGCAAAACATTTCAGGCCCCTTATGGCGGGGCCCTGTCCACCGAGGAGGCGGGAGGACCGGCGGGCGGGCAGGGGCTGGAGGCCACCAGAGCTTCCAGAGGCGACGTCGTGGTGCTGTGAGGTGCAAGGGTCAGTGAAAGAACAAGAGCGGAAAGAGAGATTCCAGGCTAGCACAGCGCTGGAGCTGTCCTTTAAGGGGCCTGTGACCATCATTCAGGACAAACGTGGCCAGGGCTGCGGACAAAGCCACCAGGCGCAGCCCCATGCCGGGAGCAGGAGCCGGGGGAAGCGGCGCGGCCAGGGAGGGGCCGCACGGGCCCGGCGTGCTCCGCTTGGCCCACAGCGCTGAGCTGTCTGAGGGGCTGATGCAGAGCCACTGAGCCCGTCGTGGGCACAGCGCCCAGGGCCCCGCAGAGGGGGCTCGGACGAGCTGGGGGGGCGAGGGGGGCTGCATCTCAGCTCGCCCCACTGTGCAGGCTGCCCACAGGCGCCCTGGGCGGGATCAGCCCCGAGGGAGATGCCGCTGAGTGGGGTGCGCAGTGAAGGGGTACTGGCAGCCCCACGTGCCCACTGTTCCCCGCAGGCCGTGTCTGGAGCCACCGCCCTGCACCCCTGGGCTCACAGCGCCACGCCGGCTACCTCGACCTTGCCGGGACAAACATACGCTGAAACAATCGTTCTAAAGCCTTTGTGGGCTGCACCCCCCGCCCCACCCCACTTTTCCAACCACCGCGGGGGCCTGCGTCCTCGGGGAGACCCCCAGCACGGCCGCAGCTGCACCGGCCACTGGAGGTTTGATGCACCCCGAAGTCCTCCCTGCAGAGGCGGCTAATGAGCCAGGCGCCTCCTCCAGCACAGCCCAAGGGGCACCGGGGCCTGCACCGGCAGGCGTCCCCCACCTCCCCTACCGCAGCACGCACTTGCGCCCGTGGCCGCTCCCGGTCCTGGCCCCAGCGTGGGGGTCTGCAGCGTGGCGGGAGGGCGGGGCGGGGCCCTGTGTGCTGGCTCCCCCCTCTGCGTGCTCCTCGACCTCCGCTTCTGTGATGGCTGCCGTCGGCTCCTCCCCACCCGGCCTGCGCCCGCTTCCCCTAACGCGTGCCTGGGCGGCGCCGCCCCTCGCCGAGGCCGCATGGGGGACACGGCTCTCGCCGCTCTGCCTCCCTCCCGGGTCCCGCCCATCGTGTGGCCGAGTTTTCCCACCGGGGGCCACGTCCAGAACCTGCGATCAGGCCTCGGTGCCTCAGCTACTGTTCGCCAGCCTCGGGCCAGGTCTGTCTGCCGGCCCTCGGGCCCCAGGGAGGCCGC